ATAGCCTGGGGCCTTAACCACTACACCAAACCGGCTCTTGGCCCCAAACTAGAATGGGTTTTAAAGCTGATTGCCAGCTTTTTGCATTATGCCAGAAGCAAAGTGGGAATCAGCATGTGCTTCCAGCACCAGTGCAACATGGGCTCTGAGTTCTTCCAGAGATCAGCATGCAGAAAGCAAGCAAAAGTCAGATGTGACCCAATTGCCTGTGCTGGAAGAAGGGAGGACACGAAAGGAGAAACTTTCTTAAAGTGCTGCAAGGAGGTTATTGGACTCAGATTTAATGCTTCTATGGCACAGCTGTGTGCATTATTCCGGGCATAAACACAGTTACTGTTTGACAATATTCTAATACACATATGCAATTCAAAACCATGTGTTGAGTGGGAGGGAGGAGGAAATCAGACCATATGGGGGTTTACACTTCAAATTTACTTCTAAAGCCTGTGTACAAACCCACCCCCCACCCCTCAAAATGACTGGTGTAAGAGGGAGCTTGCTTCCAATGCTCAGGTGCTAAGACCATTCTCCTGGGAATAATTAACGTATTGAATTAAAATAATAATAAAAACATCTGTAACCGTTTGTATCCCTGAATTTCTGCTCCCTAGGTATAATTTTTAAAAAATTAAAGATGCTACGGCAGGCCTACATTTGCTTATTTGTAAAATCTGGGGCTGGCTTCTCTGCCTGCTGTTTTCCTATCTCTGGCTGATTCTGCTGTGCTGCTGAGCTTCTCTGGAAGTTTAGCATAGACTGCGAAGGAAATCTAGCTCTTTTGAACCTGAATGAGAATATGGTGGTACCAAGTACGCACAAGAACAAAAATGACATACAATCTTCTAAAGTCTTGTAGACTGTTGTAGGAAACTCAGATAGTACTTACTTGATGTGACATCAAATGTTCCTTTACTCCTTCTTTTCCTTTCAGGGCTGCTTTGCCTGTTACAAATTTCTTACACAGAGAACATATTATTCAGATTGAATCCCTGATAAACGTTTTTATTGCATGTTCAAACTGACCCAGGAGCGATGTTAATTCCTACATGAAATGCCTATGACAGGTACTCTTACCCTTTCTTCTTGGACATAGAATTCTAGCAGATTATTTTGAAAAATAATAATGGTGTAACAATTCAGATTATGCAGAAATGTAATTAACACAGCATTGATGAACAACATATCCAAGTACTTGGTAATGTTGTAGGTAGTTTGGGCAGCAGAGTGCTAAGCATATCAAACACATTTCTTTTCTTTTTTTATTAATGTACAATGTCTTTATTGCCTTGCACATTGTGAAGGGAGTGTTAGGCCACCAGGGTTACATCCAGGAACCACTGATTGCTACTTTGCAATGTTTTCCCAGTAACTCTTCCCAAACCTGGTACGTTGCCCAGCTATATTGGTCAATGGCTCTATGAGCACAGTAATGGAAATTGTAAATCAACATATCTGGAAAACTTCATCTTAGAGAAGGTTGATCCAAACCAAGTTCCAGTAGCTTGCTCCAGCTTTCATGATCAAGGAAAGTTCATTCTCTTCAACCACATGGAGGAGGTAGAAATTTGGGTATTTTCAGTTGAGTATAGTAGGAAACACTTTTCCTCACCACAGTCCTACTGGCATCCTCATCAGTTCTGTGGAATCCAGGAGATCTTTGGTGAGGAAATCTTGCAACATGCAAGGAAGTTCTGCAAGGATCACATCAATTTGAAGCCAACCCTCTGGAAAACATACCATAGGCATAGATCCA